AATCACATCCTCTCTCTCCATCATCATCATCACTGTTTTTCTAAACTTCCACACAGGCTTCTTGCATCCCTCCATCCTGTCTTCCATCCTCTCCTCTATCCAGCCCACTTACATTTTCACCCATCCTCCCTGGCAGATAATCCCCTCGTCCGTCCTCTCCCACCTCCGCCGTCGGCCCGCCCTCCCGCTTTTCATTCTCACCACCATCCCCTCTCATCTGCTTTCCTGCCCCACAGCCGAATGCCCCACACTGACCTCCTCCTCTTCCTTCTCTTTCCCTTCCTCCTCCTCCCGCTTCCCTCCTTCTGCAGTCCCTCGCTCAACGTCCAACCTGGAAAACACAGAGAGGAAAAGAGTGAAGACGCGGCTGAAGAAGCTGATCCTAAAGAGACCACCTCTACAGGCCCTGCAGGAGAAAGGGCTCATTAAAGGTGAGATTTCTTTTTGAAGTCGCAGACCATTTAAATGCAAGTATCCTTTATTCAGCAGTATACAGGGTGAATCACAAAGTACATGTTCTCTTTGGCTTAGTTGTTAATATTACACGACTGTGCTCTTACTGCAGAAAGTGTTGCCTTTTAACTGAATTCCATCAGAGATAGGCAGCCAGGAAGTCTCAGCATTTATCTATAGTCCAACGATAGTATACAAGTATACAGCGCAGGGCATGAGTTGCATTGCATCATCCAGTCTGAGTTAACTTTTCTGGTGGGAACAGAGTCAAACATGAAGGTTTTCTCCCAGAGTGAACAGAAAACTTATCAGTAAATTAACTTGGAGCTCTTACATCATGTCTTGGTTGGGAAAAAAAAATGTGCATGCAATCATCTGAGAAACACGTCTAAACAGACATAAAAAGCATGTTTGTGTCCACCTGTCATCGGCCCTCAGATCAGGTGTTTGGATGCAGTCTGGAGATGCTCTGTGAGAGGGAGAGAAGCACCGTCCCTCGCTTCGTCAGACTTTGTACTGAAGCCGTGGAAAGGAGAGGTACAGTCGCTGCAAACACACCTCCTGCTAATTTGATTCCCAACTCAAAGTGAACACATGAGAAATCCCCCTCAGCCCTGTTTTCAGCGCAGTTTGACAGCAACTCTGAGCTCACGGTCCTCACACTTCTTTGGGAGAACTCACCAAACACAAAGTCACTGATTGCCCGACAGAAAGCAGACACAAAATGTTCAGATTCGCAGAAGAGATCTTGACAGCTTGGCAGCCTGAAAAAGGTCTAAATGAGAGAAAATTGAGTTGTTTAGAGGCTGTTAAGAAACAATGCAGTGATAAATATTTAAGACACGGGAGAAAATGTGTGTGTTTTAGGGCTTTAAAAACCAGTTTGTGATGAATAAATAAAGATGTCTTTGGAGCAATACTTTCAGATCAAGACTTTTAACTATGTTTAAAGGTATGGAACAAACTTTAGGACAAAGTAAGCCAAACTTTACTGATCATTTCTGCACATATCATATATAATAATGAAATTAAGAGCATCTGATCTTTTCCCAAGTGTTAGGTAAACAGGCTGCCATACTACTAGTTAAAACACGATGAAAAATACCCACCTCAGTGAGTTTTCTCGTGTTTTTTTTCTCCGTCTTACCAACTTTTCAAAGCCTGTATGAACTCATTTGAATGTCAGAGATGACTAAGATATTATAATGAGCAGTTTATTCACATCTGAGAAGCTTGGACCAGGTGATGATTATTTTAAGTGGTTACATAATTAACTGATTCTTCATATTTAAACAGATTGTAAAGCAATCTGTGGTCTTGGATTATAGTTTAATCTGAATAAATATGTTGCTGGATAACACAAGTTGGACAAAAATATTTTTCTAACTTAGAAATGCATCCCGTTCACCGTGCCAGCTTTAGCCAGTAACCAGCTGCAGATTTAGATTTCATGTGACTGAGTGAAGTCAGTTGCAGCAACATGAAACGTTAAGTGTTAGTGAGTGACTGTGGAGCGGTGTGCCTTATTTAAAGGTCACGCTACAGTTAACTATTTCACGTGATTGTTTTACAGAAAGAAAAATGCTCAATAGCAGCGTCAGCGCA